TTTGAATCTAAATGAGATTGTGCACTATATGTTTGTAATGGCTCATGAATTATAATATAATATTTGTACATAAAGAAAATACTAACCAAGATTAAATTTTAAAATATATTTCTAACTCATGAAAATGACTATAAATTATTATATTAAGTGAAAAAATGCATATGAAAATTATGTCACTGGATAAAGGAAGGTAATATGAATAACATTTAAAAACTTTGCTAACAACAAAAAAACAACAACAACATAGTCTTTTAGTCCCAAGTAAGTTGGGGTAGGCTAGAGATGAAGCCAAGAGAACCAATGGTAAGAGAAACACAAAAAAGACTCAAAACAAAAGGAAGGGATTGGAGCAAAAGAGAAAGGAGCAAAAGTCACGGTTCTGGCACGTTGATTGCTAGCCTCCAAGCGCTCCTATCCACCGCGAAATCCTTGGAGATATTCCAATATTTAAGGTCTTTCTTAACCGACTCTTCCCAAGTGAGTTTAGGCCGACCTCTACCTCTATTTACATTCAACCCGCTGTAGAATTCTCCTACGCACTGGTGCATCAGGAGGCCTTCGTTGGACATGTCCGAACGACCTCAATCGATGTTGAACCAATTTCTCCTCAATTGGAGCCACCCCGACCATATCTTGAATCTCCTCATTCTGGGTGCTATCCCTTCTTGTGTGCCCGCCAAACCAACGCAACATACGACATACGCATCTCTGCTACACTTAGTTGTTTGACATGTTGCCTTTTTGTAGGCCAACATTCAGCACTGTATAGCTTCACCGGGCGAATCGCCGTCTATAGAACTTACTTTTTAGCCTTTGTGGCACCCCTTATCACAGAGAACGCCCGAAGCTTGACGTCGTTTCAACCAACCAGCTACAATTCTATGCCTAACGTCTTCATCAATGCCACCATCCTTTTATAACATTGATCCTAAATACCGAAAAGTCTCCTTCTTGGCCACCACTTGCCCGTCAAGACTAACGTCACCATCATCATGTGTAGCCATGCTGAAAGCGCACGTCATGTACTCGGTCTTCGTCCTACTAAGTCTGAAGTCTATCGACTCTAACGTGTCATTCCACAACTCTAACTTCCTATTTATCTCTGTCATACTCTCGTCAACTAGCACCACATCATCAGCAAAGAGCATACACAAAGGGATATCACCTTGTATGTCCCTTGGCCTCATCCATCACCAAGTCAAACAAATAAGGGCTCAATGTTGACCCCTGGTGTAGTTCTATTTTAATTGGGAAGTACCCCACATGTTCGGACACACGTCATCGCATCCTTGTACATATCCTTGATGAGGGTAATCTAAGTCGAGGGTAATGTACGTACTTAGATGGGACTTTGTTCTTTCTAAGGCCCACCACATGACATTCATCGGTACTCTATCATAGGCCTTCTCAAAGTCGATAAAGACCATGTGCAAGACTAACTTAGATAATGAAAGGCCCACCACATGACATTCCTCGGTACTCTTTCTGGGGGTTCTATTACTGGGTAGTGAGTTTCGGAAGAAACTTTTTCTCTTTGCGGGGACGAAATTCGTTTCAGTTCTGCCCGGTCTTACCAAACAAGACTGACTTCTGACCAACTCTAAACAAGACTAACTTAGATAATGAAAGTTTGTCAACCAAATTTGTCATGCAACTTTAAATTTGTTTCTCAAATTTCAATAAACTTGATACAATTCATCATGTAACGTACTCTTTTGTTTGATTCATTGAAAATAATAATGCAAAAACTTAAACCGACCATAAAACATATGACATAAAATATAATATTTTTAAAACACGTTACAATATAAATTAGGTATCACGTGCATCGCACGTGCACTTTACTAGTAAACTTAAAGATATCAAATATCAAAGTGCAAACACCACTATAACTAATTTATCAAAGTGCATTAATACTCTAAGTTACCTACATACACTCTTAATTAAGGTATATGGCAATATTTTTATCCCAATTTTTGAATTAATTCACAAGTTCTGACTATCCTCTAAGCTAATCCACAATTATCTGCAAAACCAACTAATAAAAGCTGAATTTCCAGTTCAAAATAGCTCGTTTATGCCATATCACCACTAAAACAAAATGAAATTCCAACGTAAATATTATTCAGCGAAAACTATTTTATTGCTAACGGAATATTTTTTTGCTGATCTTGTTGAAATTTTCATTCCTCACGGAATATTTTATTGCTGATCTTCTTGAAATTTTCCAACGAAAACTATACCATTAAAATATTTATTGAAATTTTTATTTGAATATATTACCATTAAATTTTTCGACCGAATATGTTAATTTTGTGGTAGTGGATGACAATTCTATCATTTTATATAATTTCAACATGTAGCTTTCTGATGCCATCATCTTCAGGACAAGCCATGCTTTCCACATGCATTGGTCTCAACCAAAAGATATAAAATGTGAACAAATTTTTTCTATCCTTTGCACAACTTCCTATCATAGTATCATATATTTCTGCTACATGATTGAGACTATTCGTTGGATCTCAAAATACCCAAGACATATTTTTTTTTAATCATATGCTTTGTATCAAGTGAAACTGAAAATGTAATACCTGATTATGGGCAACTCAGAGGTGTTATGTATAATTTACCTCATTTAGAGTTCCAAAAATGATATATATGTAGAAGATAAAAATATATATAATATTCCAAGAAAATGCTACAGTCCCGTTACGGAACTATTCCGTCGGGATTTGTAACCGTTAGATCATCATATGTAACCGTCGTGGATAATTGATCTAACGGTTACAAACCCCGATGGAATGTTTCCGAAACGGAACTGTAGAATCTCCCAATATTCCATTTATGAGCAAAGGAAAAATGTAATGACACCAAACAAGAAAGTTAGGCAAACTTTACTAAATTTTCCTTAACAAACAAAATGCATTAATTAGGATAGGAACAGTTTGGGGTTGGTAATGGCTTGGTGTGTGTGATCTCATTCTATAAGAAATTAGTCTTTTTTTTTTTTTTTTTTTTTTT